CTTAAAGGAACTCTGCAATCTCAGCAAGCGCTAAGCTATCTCACAAACACTCCAGGGGGCTTTCTTGATGTTTATAAGGCAAGGACCTCATACCATCACAATGCCTAGAACCAAAACCCAGAGTCCTTGGCTCTATAACTATACACAATGATCTTTGGGCAGTTAGCCCTGAGACTACTAGTCCAGGTGCTCCAGGTACTCACTGGAAGAACAGATCCTGTCCTGGGCGTTGGGAGCCCTGCGTTTGCTCCCGCTCTGGGCAGGGGCTGATGCAGCCCAAGCAGCCATGGCTCAGTTCCTCAATCACAGGAGAGCAGCACCCAGCATGGTGTCTACTGCTAAGCCAGAATTCAGGTGCCTCCCTAGTTACATAGGCTTTCTCCAGTCCAGGGCTATGTGAACCACGTAGGACACATCCTAGGGAAAGACACAGGTACCATTTTTGGTGTAGGAGCTGAAATTAGCTTAGATTCACTGCTTCTGGCTCTGTCGCCAGTTGCCACAGGCCTGGAGAAGCAGGTTGGATCTTTGAACTGAAAAGGGCCAAGGGGCTCCACTCTCATTGATCCTGATCTCTAGTGGGACTGAGTCCAGACAACCCTCCTCTAGAGCACTCCGCTGTCCTCATGTGCTGCAGAAACAGGGTGAATGTCACTGCTTCTCATTACTCCCCCTACCAGCAGGTGCTCACTCAGAGGAACGGAAAAATAAGTGGTGTCTGTAAAAAGGGGCACATCAGGAGGTTAAGGAGAGCATCAGTGAGGTCTGAGCAAGTACATTCCCTGCCCTGAACCTCAATTTCTCATATTTTAAGAGAGCACCAGCCTGCATGATGCTCCACCCAGGGAGCTGAAGCAGTCTTCTCACTGGTCAGCAGCTCCTAGAAGCAGAGTTCAGGCCCAAGAGAAGCAGAGCTTGAGTCAATAGTTCTGCCCAGCATTTGGGGGTACAGGCAGGGTGAGGGAGCCTGGGTTTCAGCTCAGAGCTCCCAGGACTGAGCCAGACCCTAGAAAGTTGGGCTCGCTCCTCTCCTGGGCCCAGATAGGACTGTTCACTTAATTTTTGGAGCTTGGTGAAAAGAATAGGACATAGGACATAAGGTGCAAGGGTCAGAAAGCTGTTCTGGTACCAACGTCCTTAACAGGTGACCCTCAAAACAATTGAGCATCAAACCCCAGGGATGTTCAGAAGCCAACTTGCAGCAGGTCGTCTCTCAGCCTGTGTCCTGTGATTTTCCCCAAACATACCTTCTGAGGCTACAGCACCACCTGGCTTAGAGAGAAGTAGAGCCAACGAGCTGACTTAGCCCTAGCTCCAGGATTTCCAGATCAGAACACCTCATTTCCAGAAGGGCCCCCACAGTGGGGTCAGGTGCTTTTAGAAAGCAAAGAGACCCCAACCCATATCAGCTATCATCTCAGAACTATCTCAGCTCTATTCTCTAGCCATCTGACTATAGGTCCCCTCCTAGCACTATGTCACCATGAGAATCAAGTGAGTCTAAGACACAAGATTGCCTGGCAGAACAAGAGAGGATTTTCTATGATTGTTCTTTTCCCTCCTTTCCATCATGGCTTAGCTGTCTGGAGATGAAAAGCCAGCTGTCCTGGAAAGCCGAGAGGATAGACCCACAGAGTGTCAGGATGAGCCCAGAGAAAAGCTTTGCTGGAGGAAGGAGGCTGAGGAGGAGGTGGGTGTGCACAGAGAAGAGCTCAGAAAGCAGAGATGGGAGGGATGGAAGAAACCCCCACCCCCAGCCCAGCCCTGTGCCTCTCAAAAATGGGAAAAGGACCCTGTGTTTCCAGAAAAGTGAGCAAGAACTCTTTTGTATTGGGGAAGGCAAAGATCACACCTACACACAAAGGCAATGCCTGAGATGTGTGAAAGCCTGGGTTCAATCGAAAGAAAGAAAGAAAGAAAGAAAGAAAGAAAGAAAGAAAGAAAGAAAGAAAGAAAGAAAGAAAGAAAG